TAAGCTTCGTTCAAATTAGAGTTATTTTAATTCCATCATGTTTCACATGTTACTGATTTTTGGTGATTTGTCTAGTGAAGGTATTTTTTGAATTTTTGATTACCTATGTGGTGCTAGTGGAGAATTTATCATGAGTAATATTTCGGTTCTTGTTGTACGGTTAGTGTATGCTGATTGCAGAGGAACTGGAACGGCGTAAGGAGGCAAAACAAGTTGCGTTATTCACTGCACTGGATGTGGACTCAGATGGAAAGTAGGATCTCAGCTTGTTATCGTTTTTGATTTGTACTTGTTAAAAGTTAGCCTCTCACTCAATGAACGTTCAGATAGAGCTTTCCGATTGTGAGGTATTTTTTTGTCCTATTGGTCATCTAGACAATCCGATATAAAAGTTCGTCTTTGTTGCAGAATAACGATCGTTGAAATGAAAACATTCAAGGAGTTTGATTCGGATAATAATGGTGAAGTGAGTGATGACGAAGCAAAGGTGAGTATGTTGGTATTGGCTGTTCGAGAATGTGAGATAAGGAAGAGTTATGCATGTGATCGATTCGCGGCTGAACCTGGAGATATTTTCTGATGGTGATATAGTCAAGAGGGTGTCATGTCTACATTTAGTTATGTCAGATCTAGGCTTGAGCTTACACCTAGGTTTAGTTCTCTGCTCGTTATGAGAATTTGGTAAGGACAAGTATTTTCTGATGGCAAGAAAGTCGATCATTTCCATGGGTTTCTTCAAATAAATTTTAGCGATTTTATTTCGTTTGATCGAGAATATGTGTTTATCGTTATGCGCTGACTCGCCTGGTTTTGTTTTTGTTTTTTGATTTGATAGCAAGAATGTGGGCATTACTTATGATCTCTTCATTTTCTCGTTAATATTGTTTGATTTATATTGTACATTGACTTTTTCGAGATGGTGAAGAAACTATTCAATATAATTCAGCATTTTCATCAGGGAATTTAGATATTCGAGGTGTTTTTTTGATATGATGAAGATTTTACTTTGATGCT